TGTTTACCAAACAAGTGTTTTTGCTTTAGTCTGTTCCCGCCTTAAATGAAGTATTTCCTATTCACCTTAGTAATTAGAGCAGAAGGATGTAGTGAATGAAGTGCCTCATTATCAAGTTTGTAGCCACGGTCCCTGCAGAATGGCTACCATGCCGGCTATTTTTCATAGCTGTCTGCTTTTGCTTGTAATGGGCCATTGTTAACCCTAAATGATCCTGACATTCAATTCTCCGTCAGACAATCGGGTCCAGCCGGCAGATTTAGTTCACTAGTCAACAGAGACTTTCAGTTGTCATGTTCCTCTGTGTTCTCATTAGCCCTTGTTAGAGTGTGATCCATCCCCTACTGCCTTCTGAATTAAGTGATGCTACAAATACACTTATTGTGTTTTATGATGTCTGTTCCTCAAATTATTTTAAGGAAAAAAAATGAATGCAATCTAACGGCTATTGGGAAACATGGGAAAAATGTGCCATCCTTCTATGTTGTTAATTTATGCATTGATCTCAATGTCTCTGCCATATCATAAAAATGTAATAGGAACTGTACATTGTAACCACACACACAAAACCTAAAACCACCAGAACAATGAAAGACCTACTATGCCTTCGTCACCAGGCAGTTGTAAATATCTAATATTCACCCTTTTTAAACAGGGTTTTACCTGCTTTGTTCCAGCAATGAACTTGTATCACCCTCTAAAAAATCTTCAAATAGACTTTTATAACTTGTATTTTAATTCATGCCTCAGGGAGTAATTTTGGAGGGCACTTATGTTTTAGGATACTAAATGTAGTTCTTCAACTTAAAAATAAAAAAAAAAAAAAAAAGGAGGAAAATTTTCAGTAGGCAATCTGAATCCTTCTGGAATTCTTTTCTTCTGCTGAAATTTAAGTCCTTTAAATACTTGGACAATTTTCAGGAAATGTACGCAATTTTAAAGTGATTTTAAAAAACACGTAGGTTGCATTAATGCAGAAACAATAAGCTTTATGTAAAATTTAAAAACTTATTCTTTTAAACCATTACCCCAATCCAAATGGCTTAGAAGTTTTATCCTTTCTTATAAGTTTAAAATCCCAACAGCAGTGTCTGAAGAATAAAGAATCTACTAACACTGAAGAGAAAAGCAGTTTTTCTTAAAATGAATGCATCTGCCATATTTCTGAACTAAGGGTAAAAACAGTCTTTGCTATTACACCCTGTTAACAAATTATTAAGACATTTTAGTCTGAAGGTTCTAATTTTAATACTGAAGGGTCACTTAAACAAAAAAAGTCTAATTTCAGATCTCTTTTTTCATCTTCTGTAAAATGAATGCAGAAAACTCTAGTATCACAATGGCATGGTATAAAGCAATAGGAGTCTCTAACCAACCATGCAGTAGAAAGGAAAAAAATAAATTATAAAACCAACCCAAACGCTACTGCAATTACAAGAAGACATTATGAAAAGTTTATTTTCAACTCCCTGCGTTTTCATGTTTGGCTCTTATCTGATTCCTTCTGCTTAATTGTGATTTGGAACTGTGCCTTGGAAGACACTGCTGCTGCCTCTCCTCTCAATTTGGAAAGTGTGGCAAAGCAGCTCTATTCAGCTTCAGAGCAGTGAACATAATTGGAGCCCTAGTTCGCAAGCATGAAAGGAGGTGCTGTGCCTTTGATTAGAACTACCATCTCTCTGTGGTGTTTATCTGAAGTGTTATTTCTGCCTTCCCTGTCCACAATGCCAAATTAACATTTTACAATGCTTTCCAATGAGCTCCCAGATCTTGGCTACTGCTCAGCTCTCCCTGACGTGGAGCCTGATGTCATGCTCTGCCCTTATTTTAATGTTATCCAGAATATTGTAAGAAACGTAGGATGTTGAGATTTTTCCCTTTTATAAAATCTTTCAATCCCACATGTCACACAGAGTGATGGGGTGGAATATATTGCAAAGCAGAGAGATAAGAGGCTAGGAGCCTCACTAGAATTAGACAGTCCCAGGACGAAGATAATTTTACACTACCTCTGACTGGGGAAAGAGATGTTAATAAGTTTCCAGGACACATACGCAAGTCCCATTTAGAGGAGAACTCCATACATACGCTCTAGGCAAAGCAAAGCTAGGACTGTTAGCAAAGAACAATTACCAGTGGGACAAAACAAAAGAGTATTTGCTGCCACGCTTTACTCAAACGAAACAAGTTTACAGATTTTTCTGGCTTTAAAACATGTGCAGGGAAGATATTACAATATATAGCAACTAGTCCTCCGCATCTGGGTGCATTTCACACATCAGTGCCCAACACTGTTATTCTCACTTCTTTTTTTAATGGAATCAAGTGCCCTGTCTACTAAATAAGGGCTTTCTAATTTTATGTTATTTATTGCTTCAGAGGGGGAGGAGGAAGAATTTCCTAGCAGAGTAAAAATAAACTGGACATATACCAACGCTAACTGATAGAAAGTGTTTCGTTTAATATAAACCATAAATTATTTAGCACTGTAGATAATTAGTGAAGTTATTAGTAAAAGTTCACAACATAATACTCAAGTAAAAAAGTAGATTAATGACACTTACAAGTGAATAAGGACTACAAGTAAAACAAACAGCACAGTTGGATATGAAATATTTCATTCAGACAAAAGAAAGTATATTTGGCAAGACTGCTGCCAAAGCAGCCAGGAACCCTGACAAAACTGCAATGCATCTTTATTACGTGCAGAAAAATCTCATCTGAAAAATATAACTGGCTGGAATGTGCAACACTTGTTTACATTGGGAAGCATGAGTAGTCCCACTGAAGACAGTGTAGTTGCATAGGTAGTTACTCAACAACTTCAGAGCTGCAAAAAAATGCAGTCCAAGTGCGTATCTGATGTCAGGAAAATATTTTTAAAACACTTATGTTTTCAGGTACACTGTAATGTCAGCGTTCCTTTGGAGTTTTATCATTCTGAACGCTCCGCTATTTTACTTACAACACATTTTAAAATGCTAATTTAGTAACTTATGTAGTGGTTGGGCTTGCTTTGCTCTAGATCACACTTTTTCACTTCATTCTCTGCTCCCAATGGATTGATCTACAGTCTGGAGAAATGCCTATGTTACAGTGTAATCAGATATTAAATTGGTTTACATTGTATCTGTCAGTGGGGTTCTCATGAGTTATGAAAGACAGTTTCAGATTTTACCAGTCCAGTGAGAAGCTGAACATTCAAGTTCTGTTGATTTCAAGAAACCCACGGCAAAAGTCTTCTAAAATGGGTTTACACCATTGGTAAGTCACAACTGGTGCCATTTTGCATATTTGAGTATTTTAATTTCTTTGTTGTTAATCCTAGAAGGGAGATCGTAGTTGCAGCCTTCAGTGCGTATACTGAATTGCACACCACTACTTGGAATTAAAGTATGACTATACATCATAGCATTCAGGCTCAAAGGCAGTATTTGTCTTTCCATTTGTGCTTAAGTTTGAGCCTCTCGCTGCTGCCTCCTTCTTCTTCTTCTTCTTCTTCAATTCCACCCCACGGGCTGTAGGTTCATTTTCAACACCATTAGCTGTAACCGATGATACGGGAGTATCAAGACCCATTAAGTTGTGCAGATTTTCTCTCTCGTTCCTCTGTATCCTTTTCTTCTTTTTCTTTGCACCTCTAGAGGAAGGTGGATATAAAAAGAGTAAAAGAAACACAAAGTTAGCCAAATTTAGAGCTTTTTCCACCCACAGCTGATGCATTAGAGCAATTGTCTGCCTGTGCCCCTTGAATACAATGCTGAAACAGTGACAAAAACTACTGTTCTGCAGCAGAAAAAAGGCAGAAAAACCATGAAGACAAAGTACGAGACCATTCCACTAGTCTACTTTTTAACATATCATAGCATTGCTTTGAAAAGAACCGCTTGTGATCTTAAAAATCAGCTAGTCTTGATCAATAGTCAACAGATGTAATTAAAAAATACAAATTACCAGTCTCCTCCTCTCATAAAAGCCATTGCACTTTTTTTTCTTTCCTAAGCTCAAATACCACAATACTTGCAATTAAAGAGAGATTCCTGGTTTATTTATTCAACAAGACAGGCAGACAAAGTGCCTAAGATTAGTTTTTCCATTTTAATTTACCTGAACTATGACAGATTTACAGAATCAGAAATCACTTTAATGTCTATTTATGCTTATCAGACTTTATACAGTGCCAAAAGCATCAGTCAAGCTCCAGTATCTTTCCCAGGTAGTGCCTTTAACAAGGGAATTCAACTGGTCTTGCAGATGATACCAGGGATTTTGCAGATACTACACCACTTCTACCATGAATTCCCACTCTTGGAAGAAGCTGTAACTTTATTCAGCTATAAATATGTAGTAATACTTTGATTGTAAACTTTCAAGAGTAGGCACTGTCTTTGTTCAAAATTTGTATTGTGCATAGCACAAAGAGGTCTTGGTTTGTGACCAGATCTCTTATGCTGAATGCTGCTGAAACACATGAGTGAATGAATCAAGACCAAAGAACATAATGAGATGTGTGCAGTTTCCCCAAAAAGGGTGCTGCGAGAGCATTACTGTTGGTGATACTGTCCTAATGTAATCATATTTTATAGATGAAAATGTTTATACATCAGCCTTTCTAATGGACTGAAGACTATCTGCCTATACTTTTTTTTTTTTTAAGCTAAATTGTGTATTCATGAATACACAGCTCTCATACTGGAACATCCTGAAGGAAAAGGTTCCGGAGTTTAAGACCCTCTGTGTTAGGATTCCTGGAACAATTTGAGAAGTACTGCTGCATGAGGAAACCAGGGTACAAATCATAATTAATCAGTAACATAAGTACCAATCTACCAAACTGAGTGTTCATCTGGGTCTGATGCATAATCACTTGTAAATTTATGCAGAGAGCACTACCTAGTGTAGCTCAACAAAACTGTTCAATGGGAATATATCTAAGGAGAAAATGTCTGTACTGACAAGCAGTACCTAATCATTAATATCTGAAGGCTGAGGCTACTATGCAGATTTTCACTATAAAAGCTACTCAAATTTTGAGAAGTAGTTTTCATCTTTTTAATATTTGAACATCAGATGTGATGATGTATTAGCTTTTCGAGATACTGAGATAAAAACCTTAGTTCACTTAGCATCTATTTATGTGGACATTTCTCTGTTTCTTCTAGAGTCTGCAGAAGATAGGTTAACTGCTTGGCTAAGATAAAAATCTACTACCATCTTAGATAAAATTTGTTTTCCTATTGCAAAACAGTATTTTCCATCCAGAAATTCTGAAAGATAAACTTGTCCGAAGGGCTTGCCATTCACTTTCTTTTACAGCCGGTATTGTGGCCGTAATGAATACTGTTCTAACAGGCAAAAGGGCAAACATTCACTTGGAGGCTGAAAGAAAGGTATAGTGAGTTGTGCAGGTGCTGACAGTTTCACTTCTCCATAGTGAAAGTGCGTACTTGGCAATCACGTCTCACTTGATTCTTATGAACTTTATTTACTGCATAATTGCTATTATATACTAGCATGTGACATGGATATTAAGTGTATTTTCACAGAAAACAGGGAGGTAATAGAATGTTTTAGGTGGAGCAACTATTTAAGTACAGATTGGACTAGATCTCAAGTCATGTTGATGTTCCTTTCAGATTCTAAAATAGAAAACTTTTCCAGCGAAGGTCACAACTCTTGCATGAGTGTAATTTTTTTTAAGGATATTTCAAGACACATCACTGCGGTGACCAAGAAAACTATAGTCCTCTCACTGCCCCTGCAGCTCATGGTTTCAGGTACAAAGAAGTGACAGTTTTCATGAAAAATATGCAGTTATGTTTCTGAGATGTTTTATTATCTAGTCTGTACTATATAGAGAGCCTATAAACAGAAACATGGATCAGTCTTTCAAACTAGTGGTATCAGAAATGCCAGAAGATCCTTCTCTCTTCTAGATCTCAAAATAAGGCAAGAACTTGTAGTCTTTCCCAAAAAAAACTTGGTATGTGCAGTCACTGCTATAATTACAAAGACAAGTGAATCACATTTCGTTATGTACTAGTTCATGGGAGAGCTTGCAAAGTACATACTTTCAGATTCAAGCTTTAATCAGGAATAGACACTCAGATTTGCATTCTTATCTTAAAACATGCAGTGAAAACTGCCCTCTTCACGTCAGACAAAACACAAGCACTGGGGAAAAATGCAACAAAAATGTAGTAAAGCCTAGAATGGCCTGTCCATGGAAGGAAAATACAGCACTGTGTAGTACTGACATGTCTACATTCCTCCCTTTCAAATTAGTTCTCCCCTGACAAGGTATAGTATCCAACGCTACCTCATGGCATCTTTCACTGATGATCAGGTATAAATGGCCCAGTACCCTGAAAGCTTGCAAATAAGGCTCTGCAACACTGCTCTTTGCCCAGATTGGATAGCAATGACATGAAGCATGACTTCAGACGGGCATCTCCATGAGGGAGCAATAAAGCCTAACACATAGCTAAGGCATGCCACAGGGCAATCCCATATTCCTGAGTTTTGATTCTTGTGTACATTACAGTCCTTGCTCTTTTCAGGAGAGAGAGCATGTGTATGCATATAAGTGTGTGTGTACATATACACAAACTGTTATTTCCTTCGTGTTTCAGGTGTGAAGCACTTTTTGAACTATTATCCTAAAGCTAACTTTTTATTTTGCTCGCTAAAACAAAATAACCCTTTCAACATTTCTCACAGTTTTCTAACAGCAGTTGTAGAAATAACATTGAACATTGTTTTAAGTATTTTTTGCTTACTGTGTTGCAGGTGAGTCTCTATCTGTGTCACGCTCCGAGCTAACTTTTAGGTCCCCTGACTTACTGATGACTGGTGACATCTGTAAAAGAAAAAAAAATAAAAATAAGCAAAAAGCAGGAAGATAAAAAGAAGACAGACAATGGGGCCAACACATGTACATAGAAAACCCACCAGCTTCCTGAATAAGGAGAGAATATACCTTGTTTGAAAAAGAATGTCTATCAGCCATAAAATGTTAACTCCTATGTGGTTACAAACAAGGAAACAGTACCCTGCTTTAAAATAAAAAAAAACAAACAAAAACAACAAACCAACAAAAACTACTTGCAAATAAAAGACAGTTTTCTGGTATAGGTAGAAACAAGAGGTTATGAATCTGCTTGAAGTAAGCTTAAAATACACATGATCTGTAATGAATTACGTTATTTCTGCTACTGCATTAGTAAAGACAGAATGCTAAAAAGCCATCTTATTGCACAGTTTTAACAAGAGAAACCTGTCTATTTTTTAACCCTGCAAGTTCCAGTCAAAACCAGTTCAAATCACTCCAGGTTACTTTATAAGTCAGGGCTAAAACCAATGAACCAAACTTGGAAGAGTTTAAATAAAATCTCAAATTTCCAATGGAATTAGTGTGTGTCTCTGCAACTTGCTCCCTGTATAAACAAACCTCTTGTAACTCTTAACAGGTGTCATACTCACTGCAAGAATTCCCATAAGGAAATGTGAGTGCCTTTCCTGAGTTTACTGTCTTCAGGGACAGATTATTCTATTTTCTTCCAGGCTGTTCACAGATATCTGGTAACTACCCATGTAGTTTCATTTTCACGAAGGGCAAAAGCCAACACAACTGATAGGCCTTACGTCTCACTCAAAATTTACTCATTTGGAGCCAGGCATACACTACACATCCAGCCAGGAACTTCAGGCCTCCAGAGCACCACAACCAAGGCAAAAAGCTGCAGCAAGCAGCGCAGCACACTGTAGGTTCAGACCCACTATCACAACGCTGTCCCTGAAAAACTGTTGTGCACCTCTACTTCAGGTTGACAGGACAGCTATGTTCTGTAAGTGCCTGTTTGGTATGGTATACATGAAAGAAAACCAGAAGTCATATCCAGACAGGCATTGTGAGAGGGTACTGGTTCCTATGAAGGCCCTGGAAAGCTGGAGAAAAAGTCTCTCTCAGTTGGAGCCCTACGCCAGAGAAGGGAGGGAGAGATTAGATTTGGCACTTTCCAAAAATCAAGATTTTTTTTCAGGGAGTAAAGGAGAAGACTGGGCTTGAAACTAAATCAATCCTCAAAACTTGGCCCCCATTTATGATTTTTTTAAGACTGTTGATTTTTGTATTCATAGCCAGCCTAAAGCAAAACCTACATTGTTTCTGAATTTCTCACATAGCCTTAGTTTTAAAGAGATCAGCCCATCCAGTTCTGCCAAGCACAGAGGTACTCACATGCTTGTAAGTAAGATGTTAACGTTCTGCTATCAGCCTGAATTGCTCCAGGAAACAGCCAGTTACCCACGACATTACTGTCTCTAAAACCCCCATTAAAAACGAGCAGTATTAGGAAGGGAGTATCATTCAGCAGCGCTGGAGTGCCCAACACCACCACAGCATCTAAAAAAGTAACCACAAAGTCAACAAGAGCTTTCTGGAAGCAAGAGAGAAGAAAAACATTACAGTTCCTGACCCTTAGTTCTGCCAACTATTCATTTCATTTTGCGTGACCTCACAGGCAAGGTGTGCCATGGTCCCTCTGTATTTAACTTAGAGAGAAAATAGAGGGCTGCTTCACAGCAGTTCTTTTTATCACTTAAGCATTAGTTTCGGTATTTTAAAATGGAATGAAAATACTTTGTTTTCAGACACTGAATTAATCCATCACAGATTTCAAAGCCCTAATGAATAAAACTTAACACTTCCCTGTCAAGTACTATTGTCCAATTTTAATTTGGGGTAAAGTGAGACATAGATGAAAATCATCTTGGTACACCCAAATTAAGACTGCATTGGAACCAGAACTCATATCCCCCAAACCTCAGTTTTACACCTTGAACAGTTTAATTACCTTCTTAAACTCTAAATGGAATTAATTAAAAAATATCTACTGAATGCTAGCAGTTGAACAAAATTTGAACTTTTTTTTGTCTTGGTCCTGCTCCCTGGTATTTTATTAGTTTAATATTATTTTTCTGCTGACTTAGAAGAAAGCTCCCATTGACTTATTGAGTTCACATAAGCACACTGCCCACATCAACGATGTTCAAACATTAGTCATTAGTCTGCTGAAATAACACAGATTGTTGGATTAGTTTAGACAAAAGCCAGCCTATTAGAATATAATAAGTAGCATTGGCAGGGCTAGGAAGAAAAATCTTCTACTTCATGCACCAAGTCCTTGTTAATACAGCAACAAACCTGAGACTAAGTCAATGGTAAAAGTAAACACAAAAGAAGGAAACATAATGCCACTGATATGAATATACACAGGAATGCTGTAAACTGAATGATTCTAAGTAATTAATACTTCCTTCACCATTCATAATCTTTTTGTTCCTTGTAATACACAATCATGAGCTTGCAATCAAAACAAAATTGTTTTCTGAAAATCCTATGTGAATGATGTCGAACTAGGGTTTTTTACCTTCCTTTCTGAGTAAATAGAATATCTACATTGTATTAATACTATAATCAATTATGGACCTTTCCAAAGCATAGTCTGGTAGAATTCCTTTAAGTGCCACTGAGAAGACTGACTTCTCTTATAAAAGACAGACTAAGTTTTTTAATATGTACAGATATCAAAACACAGAAAATTATCCTTGGTTTACAGGTAGACAATTAAAGTATCCACTAAATTAAGCTGCTGAACTGAAGGTTCTAATGATCTGTTTTAAAAACCTTGTACAGTGCCACTAATGGTGTTCAATTTTGTTTTCATATTCTAATTCTCCACTCTTTCAAAGTTGGTATCAACTGTAGAAGCTTAGATTTTCAGAAGTTTCTTTTGCTTTGTCTACTATCATAAAAATAAAAATTGTAATAAAAGATATACTTTTCTTTTCTAGAAGACTTGCTTTATAGCTAATTTGGCCTCAATTTTTTGATAATATTGTCTCAGTGCTGCCACATAACAAGCAACCAAGGCAAAACAATTAAAGGCTAAATACAGAAAAGCATTTCAGTTCCTGATCCCTGCTGTAGAAGCCACAGCAGTTAAGTCAAGCACTAAACCATCCCTGTGCAACTCATGGAAACAATCATACGTATCAGAACACTATTCATAGCAAAACCTGAAGCAGAGGACATCTAAAGGAAATACCAGGGACAAAGCCTCGTCCCATGTCTCCATCTTTGGCAGTGCTTTACTCTAGGCTGTGCAGAGCTGTCTCTAAGAGTGATGGTCTGCAGAGGTACTCTGACAGACTAAGAGGCAGATGGACAGAATGGAGTGGTGCAGGCAGTCTGTTTAGGTGACTCAAGCCATGCAAGTAAATGCACTTGCTCTATAGCTACTCTGCACAGGGGAACTCTTCCATAGAAGATGTTTCTACAGAACTTGATCTAATTATTCATTGGATTACAGACAGCAAGAATGAACATGACTCTGTGTCTTTTCAAACTAGACTTTAGGACGTTAAACTCAGTATTAAGTTTGTACTGCTTTCTATTACACAGTCCATGGATAAAAAAATTATAGCAATGTACTTAACTCCCCAGAACCACATTGATGCCTCCTGTCAAAACTGTTCTAACAAGTCAAGTTTGGGAGAAATGCTGTGACACCACACTCATCATTTTCTTTCCTGCTATTCTGTACCCCTCCACACATTTCCCCATTAAATGAACAACTAGCAGGCAGCTTTGCTAGTGGAATTACATGGATTTCTTTTGCCATGACCTTCCTATTTAAAATGCAATTAACTTATCATTGGTTTTTTTTTTTTCCCCGCTGTAGTGTTTTTAAAGAACAAGCTTATTCAGATTCACCATTTTGTAACCCTTAAGTCTAACAGTATGACTTGGTTGCGAATTACCTCATCGAACTGGGGCTCTGTATACGACAGAGACATTGGCATGAATTTCTCTCTTTCCCCAGAAAAAACAGCTAAACCACTGAAGTGTTTAGGACTAAGCCAATACCCACTAGCTTCTCTATCCGTGAATGCCAGAGCCACAGGCAGAGAGGACTTTGCCTCGTCTAGTCTTTGAAACGCAAAATCCTGGGCTTGTTCAGGGCTAGGAGAGACCAGCAGGAAACCTGATGGGTGAAAACTGTAGTCACGGCTCAACACTGACAAACACTGCATCTCAGAAACCTAATCAACTAGATGACCATTTGAGGGACAACAAAAGAAAGAGGAGGAAGAATAGAGACAAGATATTTCAGACTGAAGCACTATGGTTTAGAACAGCTGTTTTCAGTCTTGAAGTCTTGGCCTCTGGGAATTTATCTGTGGTTACAGTTTTGCATTAAAATTTGCATAAAAATAATTCAATCCTGTTCAGGACCCAAGGAGAAAACAGTGGGGAAGAGAGAAGTTAGCTATCAGGAGCAAGCTATCCTAATAATATAAATGCCCCTCAATAGTATTTTTGGTTCTGCTTGACCAGTTCAGTAGCTAAGCCTGATTCTTCCTATCTTTAAACAGACCCAGTCACTTACAGCAAATGATTATGGATGTGATTTCATCTTTTCTTTTTCCCATAGATATTAATTTGCTTATAAATGAGATACCTTTTCTTTAAATGGCTCAAATAATACTACGGACACAGGCATAAACATTTTTTGAGACAGAATGCATTAGGAACCACAGAGGTGGGTTTGGATTTGAGAAAGGAGCTACCAGCTTATGAATAATGTAGCACCACACATACTTAAGAGAGAGTAATTCAATTTGAGCAGTACAAACTGCATTTTAAAGGGAAAACAGAATACCTAAAATAGGAAACAACACAACTAAAAAGCTGAAATACATTAACATTGGGTAAAGTTTAAGGAAAATGATCCATTCCTAGTAGATGGTACCATAGTAACATTTCCTTCAGAAGGATTTCTTCAAGAATATTCA